TAGAATGTCATTTTAACTTTGTAAATTTTCTCTTGTTATTGTGTTCAGAATTCATAACTAAATCATGTATATAATGAACAATCAAACACTGTATTGATTGGCGCTCATAGGAGTACAAACTAAACAACATAAAATTCAAAAGCTGTAGTTTTTTTCAGCCTGAAAGGTTCCCCCCATCTGTTTAAAAAAAATTATCTGACAAATATTTTCACTTCTTCATGTGTGGGAAGCTGAGGTGGCATAGCTGCCAGAAGTCCGCCTGATGGTCCTAAGGTCTTGGGTTCGAATTTGCATTGAGGAGGAAAACCTCCCACCGCAACCTTGGCTTCCAGGTTGACCCCACCCCCCAAAAATGGGTACCTGAAGAGTAAAGTTGTCGACCACATCTCCCTCAGAGCATCAGTCAACAAAATTATGAGAAGCAGTGAATGCTCTATTTGAAAAGGGTCCCTTTACTTTACTTACTTCCATCTATAGTTACCCACCAGTGCAGTTTTTATTCTAATAAGTTAATATATGCTCTTTATAATGCAGACATTCTGTCTGTTACAGATTAAAGCAACATAACAGAAATTTTGCTATAAAAGTTGTCACAAAATAAATGCATTTTTGTTATTGTTGGTTGTTGTTGTGGAAAAGGGAATTCTTTAAAATTATATCATTTTTCTTCACAACCTCAGTTTAGCACTAACAATTCTCATTTGCTGGAATTAATTTTCATTTGTTATCCTAAATATTTATAAAACACAGTAAACACGGATGCAAATAATGAAATCTTAGAGAAGCTGTAATTCAACAGTAAGCATAGAAGGCCGAGAGAGGGAGGGATCATGATGCACGGTCAACACATAGTCTCACTACAATACTGCAAAGGTGTTTTGCTGTGGAGAGGAGGAACTTCATCCCTGGCTGCAATTGGCAGTCACACTCACCATTGCCATGGGCTGTGATTGCCTCCTCACAGCACACTTTGAGACCATAATCGTGCCACACCTCCTCACAGCACACTTTGAGACCATAATCGTGCCACGCCTCCTCACAGCATACTTTGAGACCATAATCGTGTCATGCCTCCTCACAGCACACTTTGAGACCATAATCGTGTCATACCTCCTCACAGCACACTTTGAGACCATCGTCTGGAAAGAAGGAAATGTGCGAACACACAAAAGAGAAAAAAACTGACAAAATCAACACTGGCAGAGCAAGTTTAGTAGCAGGGTAGCAAGAGGGAGGCTATCAGAAAGATAACAAAGATCTATCAACATTAGCCTAACTGTTTAATATGGTTGTACGGTTAAACAGGGTTTCCTGGATTTGCTCCAGGATTCTCATCTTTCAGATCTTTATTCTACGGAATACAAATGGTGAGGAGAGAACTTAATGAATTAAGCACAGTATTCCTGATGAAGTTCTGACTTCTCAGAGTCTGAATCAACCAAATTAATAATTACCCATTGAACTGAAAAGCACAGACCTACTTTGCTTTCCTGTCGAAGTGCTTAATTCATCAGCCTCTCGTTTCATTGTGAATTTTCTGAAATTTTTCACGTTAAATCACACAAAGTAAATCCACACACATGGGGCAGCCATTTGTAATCACTGAGGTTTTTGCCACGATTGGTTGTTATTTTTAGTTTGTGACGCATATTTTCACGTAGTATGCAAAGTACCAAAAATTAGGTTTAGCGGCAGATCAGGAAATTTAAAGAAAAGCTGTACAATGGTCTGGTAGAGATAAAAACAGACTAAAATGACAAGTTACATATACATGAATTATTAGTTAAAAAGTAATCTCTTAAGATAAGTCATAAATAAATATAATATTAGTCAGGCTGTACTGTCATAAGGCACTCATATATAATAATAGTTAAAATGTATCATCTCTTAAGATAAGGCATATGTGCATATATTAAATGTTGATAAAGTAGTAATATAATAAGGCATATGTGTAAATATGTACAAACACACACACAAATATTTACACCACACATATGTACATACATACATATTTTAATAATTGAAATGTAATCGCATAAGGTAAGGCATAAATACATTTAAAAAGTAAACTCATGTAATAAAGTATATGTACATATATTAACTCTTTGAGTCCCAGGGGGTTTAGCATCACAGACCCAAAGGGTAGACAAGAAAGTCATAAAATCAGCGCATCTTGCGTTCATTGGGCTTCCAGGTAGGAATCTATGAACGTATGATGCCTTCCTTGGGACTCAAAGAGTTAATAGTTAAAAAGTAAACTCATGTAATAAAGTATATATATGTATATTAATAGTTAAAAAGTAAACTTATGTAATAAAGCATATATACGTATATTAATAGTTAAAAAATAAAATCATGTAATAAAGTATATATACATATATTAATAGTTAAAAAGTAAACTCACGTAATAAAGCACATATACATATATTAATAGTTAAAAGGTAAACTCATGTAATAAAGCATACATACATATTTTAGTAGTTACAAAGTAAACTCGTTTAACCTCTAGTCTGTTGTTCCTTGGCATCACACTAATGTCATCATCATGTAGCAGGTCCTTTGCAGAACGTCGCTCTCATCACACTCTGCCTGAAAGAAACTCGGTCTCTCGCCAGTTCTCCCGCCTCACATACTTTCATATTCAAGGAGTCGCTTATATTCTGTGCCCATCTTCGTGTCAGTCAGCCCCTGCCCCTCCTTCCTGGTATCATGCCTTCTGCTATAATTTTTTCAAATCTGTCATGGCGCTTGATATGACCAAAATATTTCAGAGATAGGATGCTGTTTATTAGCCAATCTTCCTTGATGTTCAGATGTCAGTATTTCTCCTCTTCTTTGTCCAAGATATTCTGAGAATCTTTCTATAGCATTTCAGCTCAAAAGCCCCAATTCTCTTTCTTAAGGACTGAGAGATAGTCCACGACTCACATCCGTATGTAGCCACAGGGATTTTGATCTCCTTGCTGGTGCTTAACCATAGACTTTTAAGACTGTTCAATCTTTGCATTGCTATGGCCTTCCCCCTTTTAATTTCTGTCAATCAGTCTCCATTGTCTCAGTTTGTGACATTCTCAATTTCTTCATCACTTATTGTTATTTTTGGGTGACAGCCATTTTTATTTGTGGACATTATTTTAGTTTTCTTTAAATTTAAGAACAGATTTTGATCTTCACTGCTTTTTTCACAAAAATGTAGTAACCATTAAACCCCTTTTTAGTTATTTCATCTAATATTAAAAACTCTGTGAACTAATCCCATGCTCTATTTACATCTTCTTCTTCTTTTTCTCACAACTGATTATTTGTGATGTGCTTTAAAGTAGTAGTTTTATTTATCTGATTTAATTTTTATATTCAATGCATTGTGGTCAATCTTTGCTTGATTGGTGAATCTTTGCTTGAATCCTCTGGTAGATTTACTTTTTAATGCTTATTATCTGTTGCAGCATTGTTAGGGGTCTTTGGGATAAGAAAAGGGCTTTCATCCAATGGAGTAAGAATGGTATAAGAATGCGTTGCAGAAGTCACGTTCCTTTCCCTAAGATTTAAAAAAAAATCATGTGGTTTGGGCAAGACTGCATGTGTTGAAACTGCACAACTTCACATACAGGTTCTGCTACCTTTGTTTTCTTGGGGGTGGGAGGGGGGGGGGAATAGATCCACTGTGTGCCCCCACCAACCAAACAAGCAAGTCATAAAATGTGACTCATTAGGTGGTTGCTGAATATTTTAGATGTCTTGGGCCGTGAGGCACAGAGGTCACTGCCTAAAAGTACACCACAATACAACCCCCCCCCCCTCCCCCCCCCCATCCAATATTTTCCAGGGCAAAAACAGAAGAAGAAGCTGCAAAAGTGAAATATATATTGTAGTGAAATATATGGTGACAGTGAGTGACATTATGTGAATAACCTCACTTAAAAACAGTGATAAAATAAATACTACAAACATTCTACATTTTGTGATGGGTCTGTTAACAGTCACAGATGTATTAAGTAAACGGAAATAAAGCTTAAACATATTCTGCTTCCTTTTTCATTCCCCCCCCCCCCCCCCCCCCCCACCCTTTTTCTTATTTTTTAACTGCCCCTTCTCCTTCTTCTTCTCTGCCTCATCCTCTTCCCTGCGTTACCTCATTGAGGTTTTGGTGGAAGATGTTATGATCTGTGTTCTAATTCTTTGTATAATTTGATTTTCGTAAACTGATTAATGTTTTTAAACATAAATTTGTAATCATTTATATAGAGTTATAGGTGTTACAAGTGTTTCAGATATTGTTAGTAATCCTTAACCCATCCAGTTACAACAAACGCCAGATGAGCAGAATTTACCCCAGAGGTGGGCGAGTGGACTCTAGTAACTTCTTGCCACAGGTAAATTGCATATTTGCAGGTTTCACATTTTCATTTTTCACATAAAATCCTATCAGTCTCAAATAATTGCATTTTTGCAGATTGTACACTTGTATTATTTCACATGAATTCTTTCGGTCTCAAGTAATTGTATTTTTGCAAGTTGCGTAACGTCGTCATTTAATTTGTTTCAGTCTGAAGCAGTGTGTAATATAAGAGAGATCATACCAGTGAAAGCCATTGCATAGTTTGCTGCTTTACTTTTTATGTTTAATCATTGCACACTGAAGAAATCTGGCTTTCCCAGTGGCAACTGGCACTTTTTTTTATTAACCAATTAAAATTTTTTTTTTTTTTAATTTTTCATATTGTAGATCAGCACAGTTCTACAGTGATCTGCATTAAACATGTTTACACATACATTTTCTTTTACTGAAGCACAATCACTGGCATTCTGAAAACATGCTTACACAAGCATTATATTGCATTTGAACCCGGTAGTGTATATTTATAAAATTTACAGAGATTTTATTGTAATTAAATACAGTGATTTGCTTTTAAATTTCCTAAAACAGGCACTATATTTACATGTAAATGCTCACATAGTCATGATATTGCTGATTCTCACAATGTTTCCTGGTTATGTAGATTTTCTGGAATGCAGGATGTCAGATGGTTGCCCTGAACTTCCAGACACCAGACATCAACATGCAGTTGAACCAGGGCAAGTTTGAGTACAATGGAAATTGCGGGTAAGAGGATCACCCATACAAGCTGGGTCCCTTATGCTATAGTAAATTATACAGATGTTGTCTTAGGCTCAGTTTTTCAGGTTGATCTGCACTGCTGCAGTAGCTAACTGTCTGCTCTCGTAGAGGTCATATGTTCAGTTACGTAGAAAGATAAGATTTTGTTTCTTATAACGTGACCTGTTTCCAGGTTCATCCAAACTAACATTCCATATTTTTCTGTGTGTAGGACCTCTCAAAGGCCAACCCCACGTCCTCGTTGTGAGAGGTGGTAACAGGACAAAGTAGGGGATTGCTAGGTGTGGGCAAAGTATGGTGTGGCCTAGTGCCACGGGACCGCTACAGTAGCCATGAAGGCCACCCTGGGTCACCCCGAAACGTCCTGGCCAACGGGGCTCTGGTGAAGTTGCGACAGGCCTAGCAAGCCGGCAATGGATTTATTATCGCTACAGAAATCAAAATGAGATATAAACGGACTGATCAAACGGTATCTGACCATGGCAATGTTAAGGGACTACGAGACAGAACAGCGAAATACAAGATTGCAACACTTAACACCGCTGGCTTGGGAAATAAAACAGAAGAGATTATTGAAATGATGGAAAAAAGGAAAATCAAGTTAATGGGGCTAGCTGACATAAGACGCAAGGGGAATATTAATAAGAAAATACACAGAGGCTACTTACTAACATATGCAGGAGGAGAAACACAGAAGAATGGAGTGGGTTTCCTGGTACATCTGGACATATCTAACTACATATTAGACATACATTATCACTCAGATAGAATTATTACTTTGAAAATTAAAAGAGGATAACAAGCTGAAACATATATACAGATATATGCACCATGCAATGATAATTATACAGAAGAGCAGAAAGATGAATTCTTGACAATCTGTCTGATGAGATAGAGAAAGTTGAGGGAAGCAGCATACCAAATGTAATGGGTGACTTCAGCGGGAGGGTAGGAAATAACAGAAGAGAATACCAACAGTTTTTAGGTCCATATGCAGCTAAGAACAGTGCTAGAAATGGAAATGGTCAAAGAATATTGGATCTATGCAGCCAGCGCAATCTTTTTATTACGAACACATTCTTTGACCATAGAGATTCACAACTTTACACTTGGTACAAATGGAATGATGTCTCCATCAAGAGCCAGATTGACTTTATACTTACCAGAGTTAAAGGAAGAAGGAGAATTCTTGATTCAAGAGCAATCCCTAATAGTCTATGTGACACTGACCATAAAATAGTTGTGTTAACAGCAAAACATCTTACATTAAAGAAGCACAGAAAGAAATTAAACAAAAACAAGGATCTCATCAAGATAGCAAATCTGAAACAGGAAGGAGTAAAAGAACAGTTACAACAGAAAGTAGAGACAGCATTCAAACAACTTCCACATGTAGGCAATATTGAGGAAGAATGGAGTAAATATAAAAAAACTATGCTTACTATTGCAGAAGAATTATGTGGAAAACGGAAGAGTGGAAACAGACGGGGAAATAACAAATATTCACCTTGGTGGTGCTAAGAAGTAAAAGAAGCAATTAAAAAGAAAAAAGACTTATATAAACAGTGGATAAAATCAAAGAAAGAAGAAGATTATATAAACTATAGACTGCAAAGGAGAGAAACCAACAGGAGTGTCAAGAAAGCAAAACAAGCATCCTGGGAACGTTTCGGTGAGTCACTAGCAGAAAATGAGAAAACAGCCAGCAGAAAATTTTTCAAAGTAGTTAAAAATATGCGGAAAAGAGATGAGAGCTACAATCCCACTGAAATAATTAATGATAAGACAGGAAGGCCATTGATAGATCCACCCGAGATAGCAGAAAGATGGAGGGAATACTTCAATGAGCTCTTTAATCCTCTAGGAGATCATCAGGAAAGAACAACTGAAGAGCACAGAGCAACAGTGTTATAACCACACATACTAATGGATGAAATAGAAAAAAGTCTTTAAACAGTCTCCCAAATATAAAGCACCAGGAGCTGATAGATTACCAACAGAAATAATTCAAGCAGCAGGTGAAAGCAGCATCAGATGGCCTCACAGAATATTCAATGCAGCATGGGTACAACAAACGGCCCCTGTTGATTGGTAACATGCAATAGTTATACCATTGTGGAAGAACAAAGGAAGCAAACGAGAATGCGGTCAATATCGAGGCATCTCTCTTTTAAGCCATGTTGGCAAAATATGTGCCAAGATAATAAAACAAAAGACTGAGACCAGTGATAGAACCACAGCTGGCAGAAGAACAGATGGGATTTAGGAGAAATAGAAGCTGCACAGATGCAATCTTCACACTTAAACAGTTAATAGAAAAGAACATTGAATACAATAAGAACTTATTTGTGGCCTTCGTAGACCAGGAAAAGGCATTTGACAGAGTCGACATACAATTATTATGGAAAGTAAAGGCAAGTTATGGAGTTAGCGAACACCTCATCGAAGTGTGCAAAAGTTTATACAGGGATTGTAGAAGTGTAGTTAGAATAAATCAGGGAACATCTCATCCTTTCACAATGACATCTGGAGTAAGACAGGGGTGTGTCTTATCACCACTGCTGTTTATCACCTACATCGACATTATATGCAAGAATGCCAAGCCCAAGAATGAAGATCTTAGTAAGATCAACGAATTACTCTTTGCAGATAACCAGGCCTTGATAGCAGATACAGCCATGAAATTGCAACAACATCTAACATCCATGAATAAAGAATGTAAAACAAATAATATGAGAATCAACACTGAAAAGACAGAAGTAATGTCAATAGGAAAAAAGAAGACAGATCTAAACATAGCAATAGAATACAAAGGCATTAAACAGGCATCTGAGTTTAAATATCTGGGAACTACATTTACCGAAGATGGGAAATTGGATAAAGAAATTAACATTAGATGCAGTAAAGCAAACCAAGTATTGGGACAGCTAGCCCCCCTCTTACAGCATAAGACATGGTCACTCATAAAAAACAATAAAAGAAAATTAGTAACCATGGAAATGAAATGTCTGGGAAGGGCTGTAGGAGTGACCATAAGAGATAAGATCAGGAATGAGATCATAAGAGAACAAGTCGGCACAGAACCAATTCTGGATTACATACAAGACAGCAAGTGAAATGGTTTGCCCGCTTAGAGAGAATGCCTTGTGACACCATACGATACAAAGCATACATGGAAAAAGAAGAAGAACGTAGAGCACGGGGTAGACCAAGAACAAGATGGAAGGATAACATCAGAGAAACTCTTCAACAGCACGATGTGCCTATGGTCGAGGCAGCCAGAAGAGCTAGAAACAGAACCTTATATCTCCCTCGACACCCACAGCGGTAAAAGAGGAAGTGAAGAAGAAGAAGAAGTAGGACACCCCCTAATTTAGAAAAGTGGTGCAGTTGTGTGGCAGTCTTGAAAAAAAAGATTAGGATGGCAAGTGTATTTCAGCTTTTCTTGATGAACTCTTTCTTTTAGTCATTTAACAGTTGAAAGCTTAAATACTGACTGTAAGTTGTCATTCATTTCTTCGAGGACTGTTTAAACAAGCCTGGTGAGATTAACATGAGAAAGTTCTTGTGGGCTATGTAGTGACATTCCTGATTTACTAAAACAATCATGGACCTTCAGCAGATTAATCAAAAAATTATTAGAGTTTCCCCGAGTGGGTTTTGGAGCCCCATTATTTGAGGGGGGGGGGGGGGAATAATAGAACCACTGAATGTCACACAAAGTGATTGTTTTCTGAAATCAAATATTTTAGACTCAAAGGCTCATATATCACAGTCAAGCTGCACACCACTCACTATACAATTTTCCAGCTGTCCTTCTAAAGATGAATGCAGAACCAAAAGATAAGGAAGCTGCTGAGATGTAGTTTTATAGAAGAATTATAACACAGTAAGAGAAGATGCTGGCCGAGGGGCAGATCCAAGTTCAACCCCAGGTAATGTGAGGGATGTTTTTCTCTCAGGGGAAAAATAAACATTCTAACCTTCACAGTCTATGGCCACAACTCTAGCCATGTGGCCCTAAACCCTCAGGCTCATGACCCCCCCCCCCCCCCCCCCCCATCTACACTGCCCTAAAAAGCGGTGAATACAGACTGCAGCGAAGGGACAGGCAGAAAATAGATAAGAGACAAATAAAAGTGAATAATGAATAAGTCTCGAAATAAATTCACTCACAAAGAGACTGGAGTATGTTGTAGCAATAGAAAAGTTAAAAGAGGAGAGAGGCTATGGGAGGCCAAAGAGACAGTGTTCAGCATTTTTGCTTGAGACTTTGAAGAACATCTGTAAGAAATAAGAAAAACAAAAAGGAAAACAACTGTAAGAAATGATTGACAGGACTCCAGACAAAAGGCTGTGGACAAGACTTGATTACCAATACCACATGAAGGATTTTCTTCCACGCCAGCAAGCCTGATGGGCATATAGGGCTAGATCAGTCTAGCCGCTACACCACTGCAGCTTTCCAGCTCTGGATAGCATAGACTACAAAAAGAACAAACAGCTACTATTAAATAGGTTAAAAGTAACAAAAACTTTGAGATACTGAGATATTTCTGTCTTGTAATACATTTTTCTTTGAAGGCTATTTGGTAAAGTAATTTTTTAGTAGTAAAGAAATAAATTCTTGTTATAAATTCAGTTAGTAGAAATACAATGATTTATTTTCTCCGGCTAGGTATTTGCTGAAACCAGACTTCATGCGCCGACCTGACCGAACATTTGACCCATTTTCTGAAAGTCCTGTTGATGGTGTTATAGCGGCTCACTGCTCAGTTCAGGTAAAGGCAATTTCACTCATTGTGCACTAAACAAAGAAAACAAACAATAGATTGCACAGTTTATTGCCTTGCATATTTCGTTGTCTCTCATACTACATATAGTTGCCATACGTTGCTAACAGCACCATACTTCATAATGTGTATATTCTTATATTATCCTGACATGCTGTATAGATAAAGTATAATTACTGTATGAAAGATAAGTGTACATATATACCCAAGATCTTATGTTCACCTTATCTGCACAATGTACTGTACACGAGAACTCTCCACCTTACCCAACACTGTATCTGGTTCACATAGGATCTTATTTGAACCTAATTCTCACTCAGGACAGTTTATGAGACCACTCAAAGAGTTAACCTCACCTTTTATCTTGCCTTTTTTTTTTTAGATATATAGTGCAGACCTGATAAGAAGAACTCACCAGGAACTCAAAAAATAGTTTTTCTAATCAGGAATTCCTTTTATCTAGATAAGAGTTCAAGCAAGAAAAATAGCAGAGGATAAACAAATTGTTCTTCACACCAGAAATGTATCCATCCAAGATTGGTCTGCACTCTGTTTGCTAGTTTTTGGTACATTATGGCATTAAAATATATATCTTATTGTAATCACTTTGTGTCCTTTCCTTTCTTGAAACTTCTAATAAATTTTTATTTTAACTTTTTCATTGTCCTCAGGTGATTTCTGGCCAGTTCTTATCAGATAAAAAAGTTGGAACATTTGTAGAAGTGGACATGTATGGTCTTCCAACAGACACTATACGACGGGAATTTCGAACCAGGGTGGTTCCTAACAATGGTCTCAACCCTGTCTATAACGAGGAACCTTTTGTTTTTAGGAAGGTTAGTTTTTTTATGCTAATGTTCTTTTCAGTGAGAATCTTCACTGAGGTTGTGGAAATTCTTTTTAAACCACCATGTCTGCAAAAATAAAATCCTGTGCCGGACAGTCTGGTAAAAAACATTCATGCAGCCCTGGATCCTCAGACTCAAAGATCCCTGACCTGTACCCCAGAAGTAGTAAACCCAGTCAGTCAGTACTTGGCAGTTTTTTGGGGGCAGTCCTGTCTAGCAATACCTGCTACTAGTGAAGTTTTGAATTATCAGGTTTGTTTATATAGCTTGGGGCCCTGCAAATAGGGAAGTTCAGAAGAATAGCAGACGTTTCAGAAAAACAAAAGTTCACGATTCTAGAAACTAAGAATCAAATGAGAACTGCTAGGAGAAATTAAAAAAAAATAGGCAAAATATTTTGTACTAAAAATGACACAAGAAGATTTATTCTGGCTTTCATATCCCAGTGGGGAATAGGCCTTTAGGCAACTTACACCAGTGCAGACCTGAACTCTCTCAGACTTATGAATTTTGACAGACTTGGCACACATTTATTTCCCTTTACAAAAATAGCAGAAAAGGGGGTGAAAAAAAAAGGGGGGGAGGGGGGGGTGTACAAAAAAAAGGCAAAGGGTAATGTAATATACTTCTAATCCCTAAGAGAAATAAATGTACATTTTGAATATGATGATAAGTTTATGTGTAATACTGTTATAGTTAGTAGGAAATAAGAATTCACCAGGTGTTAATTTAACAACATAATTTTTACAAAAAAATTCTTCACTAACAATGGTTTTGTAGGCACAAGCGCGGTTAATATCCACATTTTAGAATATATACTTTGAAGTTTGTTCAATTTCCTAACAAAGTCCAAAGTTATGATGATAAGTTTCTGGGTTAGTTTAGCACTCAGGAGCTCTTATTTCTCACAGAGTGCTGAGCAAAATTTCAGAGAAAAAATGGCAGAAAAATAGGCCATTACACACACTCTATTTACTATTTACTTTGTACAGTTATATATAAAATATAAAATATATAGACTGAAGCCTCAGTGGTTTCAATGAAGCTTAGGCATAATATAGTACTGTCTGTTTTTTTGGAGCACTTTCCTTCTCTGACACCCTAAATATGGTAGCAGTGATACATTCTCTGTGTAAACTCATCAGAATCGCTAGATTCATAAGAAGCTCAGCTGCCGCTGGTTTAAATTCACAGTCCCAATCACTTTAGAAAAAAATATCAATTTTTATTATCATTATCAAAACTAGAAATATCTGACTGAAACAATTTCTGAGTTTCGGTCGGAGAGAAAAGAGGCATTTTGCGACCTGTACTTGTGGTCACAAATGACACTGTGTTTGGAAGACATGCTCATTCTTATCATGCATTATTAGGTGGTGTTGCCAGAGCTGGCAGTTCTTAGGATAGCAGTGTTTGAAGATACAGGCAAGCTGATTGGTCAGCGTATACTACCCTTGGATGGTCTACAAACAGGCAAGTTGCACAGTTAGACAATTAACTTACTGTCTTCTCAAATTAAGATTATATGTACATTCTTAGATTCCAATATGTTTTAAGTAAATAATAAACGAGTTACATTACCTGAAAGTATATGTAGACAATGTTAACTTATTTAAAACAATTGTGATGCCTCTACAGTGGAGGTTAGCTGCAATGTGTCCATTACTAACAGTGGGAACATTTAGCATTCAGTGGCTGAAAATTCTGGTTGTTCCTTCACTTCAGAACCTGAGTTTTGCATGCATATCTTTTGTATAGATTTTGCTTATTTATATGCAGACTGTTGGTTCCTTGCCTCTCAGGCAGATGCACTGTGACTTTGAAGGAAACCTCACTAATTAGTTTACTTTTTCAACATGCTTGTAAGGAGACACTGAGTTCCACTACTAATGTAAATAAAAAATGGCTGTAGCTTCTTTCTGATGTTAGTAAAAAGTTATCTTAGCGTCTTAGCATCTCCTGTATTTGCCTCTTGCAAACATACATTTATCTCTTGTGGCAATTCTGATAGCTGTCTTATGCATTTAATTTAATGTTTTTGGTTGGCTTAGCTGAGACTGCAGTCTGCTTCAGTTTCTTCACAGTGGAGAGCTCAGTGCATTTGATGCATTCTTTTATTTTCAGTCTTACAGATTTAGTTTATATTTTGCCAGCTGCTTGCATATTTGGGGGTTTTGTTTCTTTTTCTATGCTTGAGCTTTTCTTGCATCGTTTTTTTATCGTTAACTCCAGCAATAGTCTTCTTCTTCCCCTTTGGCCCTTTATCTCACAGTGGAGCATAGGCCCCCAACTAACTTACGCCAAGTCGTCCTATCCTTTTGCTGTTACATGCAGCCCACCCCAAGTCATCCCTGTCTTTTTTTTTTTAACTTCATTCTCTAGTTACCCTTCTGTCTTTTTTTTTAACATTCCTTTATCACTGTGCCTCTATGGTTTCCATTGTAAAGAGGTTCTAGTTATATTGTTCTCAGGTTTTAACATATGATCTATCCATTACCAGCATCTTTTCTTGGCCTCCTGATTGACTGGAATTTGTTCTCTTTCAAATCCTCACAAAAGTAATTCTATAATACTATTTATTTAGTTCCCTCTTTTTGGCAGGCATGAGTGAAGGAATTGTAGCATTGTTCTGCCTAGACAGAATTCAGTTCAGTTTTAATACTACACTAGCCCCTTCTCTTGTTGCCAGATGATTTCTAGTTAGTTTAGTAGTTGGAATATTCTTACAGTACAAACCATATGGCCTGTCAGCAAGATTATACAGCAGAGTTGCAAACATGGCATCAGTCTTATTTGTAGTGACTACTAAACTTTTGTTTTCCAGATTGTTTAATTTCTTTAAAATATTTAATTTGCAAGTGTTCTTTCCAGAAAGTATTAGTTACTCACAGTTCCAACTCCACGGCAGTCGAGCCATCCCATTAATTACTTCATTCCCATATCAGCCAAAACCACACAGAATGCCTATTACTGTCCCTTGTGGGAAAATGTGAACAGACTGCAGTCTCTACAAAGCTACGACGTATACATTTCTAGGAATACTGCATGCTAGTAAGGTTGTGAATTATCACATTAGCTTGTAGTTTGTATGAAATGCGGAAAAAAAAAAATATAATAGGTCTCATTTCAAGGAAGAGAAACTTTCTAAATGTAAAAGCAAGAAATTAATGGAAGAAGGAATAGTAGAAAACTGAAACTGAGTCAGGTTGTTTAGAGCACTATTGTGTTGGTATATGATACTAACCACTACAGCTTGTAATGTTTTTGTTTTTTTTCATGTGCTATTCTTTTTGGCCATCTTGTAAACCTACTTTTCCATCTTCTGAACCTTCTTGGCAATCAAGTAAATCTACTTTGCCATCTTGTACTTTGTTAACCCAGTAAACTTACTTGCCATCTTGTAAACTTACTTTGCCATCTTGTAAACCTGCTTTCCCTTCTTCTTTTTTTTTTTCTTTTTCTTCTTCTTCTTCTTCTTCTTTTTCTTCATGTTTACTGGCTGTAAACTCAAGTAGAAAGTTCACCTCTGCACTTTAGTCTTGTTCCAGAATTTGGGTGTTGCCAGTACACCAGTTTTACAGGTCTGGCTTATCTTATGCAGACTGTTGGTTCCTTAGCCACTTAGCAGATGCACTACAACTTCAAAGAAAGCCGCCAGTTAGTCTAATGACATGCTTCTTGGGGAGGCATTAGTCTGTTTTAGTTTTCCCTGTAATGGACCCTGGAACCCAGGCGGAGAGCTTTGACATCTTTTAAACCCACTTTGTCATTATGTAAACCCATTTCCCATCATGTAAATGTACTTTCTCATGTATGTAGTAAACCTAACCTACTGTTCAATCTTGTAACCCACTTTGCCAGGTTACCGCCACATCTCCCTGAGGACAGAAGGAAACTTCCCATTATCTTTACCCACCGTCTTCTGTCGTATTATACTCAAGACTTATGTTCCTGTAGAGTTTGGTGGTAAGTGCTTATTTCCAGTTTTTGTGTTTCAGAATGATATAAATGTACTACAGTAAAACCTGGTTAACATTAACTTCCTTGAGAAAAATATGAACACAAATTTTGGTCCCAGTAGAGATGTATTATTTTTAGTCCCCTGTTAGACTGCGTTCTTTTAAAAAAAAAAACTTACTT